ACAGTGTTTATTTGATGGAAATTGGTTGAGTATTAGCAAAGTTACAGTATGCATATTTAATTCATTGGATATCAGTCATGTAGGTTTAAGAAAAAAAACTTTCAAGACTCCACAATCAACAGTTAATTATTAAGATTTGTATTTTTAAATAATTCTAATAATATATTTTTTAGATTTAGTGATTGATATTGTGCAGAAATGTTCTTCAACATCTTTTGTTTCATCCATCTACTGTGCAATCACAAACTATTGAAATCAAAGTGTATTTTTTAGAATAAACATTTTGTTACTGATAAATCATCCATGATATAATATCTTTCATAGATACTAAAATGTTTCTATTCAAAATAGTTAATTTTCTGTTCAAGATTCTTCATGTTCACATTTTCTTTGAAATCCATAAAGTTCAAAGAAATATTAGCTAATACTACTACTTAATGTAGTTTTGATTTCAGAGAAATGCTTGACATAGGCCAATCCATTGATTTTTTTTCCCCGATAATCAGTAAACAATATATTTGATGGTTAGTTTTATTGAATTACTAAAACGCTATGCAAACCGTTTCCCCCTAACAAATACGGCAAAATAAACTAAAATTGATTAGAGACAGGATATGGTGCGACCTATGACTCAGTCAGCATTTGCTATAAATACTGACAAAATTTTCAATTTCTAAAGAGATTATTAACTAGTATACTGTACATATGGTATTATTCATAGAAAATCAAATTATACAGTGTGCCAATATTTATTAGTGGGAATTATACATTTGCAATTAGCTTAAAAATCTGTTATGCCACAATATTATTCATTATGCCTACTTATTAGAACTAAACAAACAATTTATACCATATTTAAATTTAGACATGTAACAAATGACTCACAAGTTCAATCTAACAGTATTTTCATGAGAAAGTCCAAAAAAATGTGGTGACTAATTATTGAAGGAAAACAATTTCTTCTGGTGGTAATCAAAATACAGTATGTCACAGCTACTGTAATGCTGATGATAAAAGAATGTTTTCCAGTATAAAAACATAGTTGAAAATAGTAGAAATCAAAAATAAGGATATATTTAGTCATCATTATTTTATGTAACTGCAGTCAGTATTGTTCTAAAGTACTCTTTATGTCTTATATAGTACTTGAAACATTACCTCTTCATGGTGAAACCTGAAACATGCATAGTGCGCCTTTGATCTTTTTTGGAATTGGCGCCTTACAAATTTCTGATATTATTATTTATTATTATGACTGTATGTAATTTTTACGGTCATCATGGAGGGCATTTTGCGGTTAGTAAAATATTGAAAATATTTACAATAAAAAAAATCATGGTCACATGTAAATTCTTATCTTATCAATGTTAACATTATTTATAGTCTTTAAACCAGAAGATGACAAATAGTGGCTAAAGCAGCTACTGAATATTTATACAACTATACTATATTATATTACTGTATATTATAGTATATTACATTATATTATATTATATTATTGTATATTATATTGATGTTGTGGGTATATTTTTGCTTACAGCATTGTTCTTTTCTATGACTTAGCTACAGTAAGCAATTAATATCAAATACACAAAATATAATCAATAAACCTCACTGTATGAATTATTGTACTTTAATAAAAATGTACAAAAAATGACCTTTCATATTATGTTAGGAAATTAAGACCAACTGAAAAAGTGTACCGGTCTTTATTTTATTTATATTACAAATTTTAAATTCTTTTTCAGTTCGATTGCTACTATGATTTTAAAATGTGATGTTTGAAATCTAGTATGTACATAAATATAGGCCTATACCAGACTTTTGAAATATGCTATTGCCCAAAATTGCTATAATATTGGCACCTTTGGTCTCTTTTAATGTTCAAATCTAGACATTACTATACTGTTAGCAAACATTAAACCACTTGCAAAATATGCTTAAAGTATTAACCTTCTTTTTCTGTTGCAGATTTTTGACGAATGGGCAAATGTTCTTACTTGAAAAGGTGAAAATATAACTTTGGTTCGAAAGCTTTTAGGCCCCATAAAAAAAATTATTAGTTTATCACCCTATCAAAGAATAAAAACTGATGAGGGAGGGAGGTTTTTTTTTTGTTTTTTTGTTTTTTTGTTTTTTTGCTAATCCCGCCCCCATTTTACCGATATCACAAGTAAATCAATGGTTAGAGACACATATATAAAGTCATAAGAATGGAATCAAATTTATATTTAAAAAATATGTTTTTGTTGTACCAGTAAGCATATTTGCAAGAAACCCTGAGCTTTTCAAGTGAAAAAAAGATGGAAAAAGGACCATTTAAAATATGAATATATGTTGATTGAAAAAAAAAAAAAAAATCAGATTTTCCCCAAAAGTGATGAGGGAGCGGGTGATAAATTAATAATTTTTTTTATGGGGCCTTATATAGTTTATCAGTAGTATAAAATAAAAGAATTAACAAATTAGTTTGGTGCTATCTGTCATATGCCAGATTAAGTCGAAAATGAAAGAGTACAACAGGAAGCACAAAGCATAGAACCAACAACAGGGCGGAGCCATAATAAACTCACTCATGGGTTCTGAGGAAAATAAACAATAACACTCAAATCAAATCTTACAACTGGTTTACAGTACTTGCCGTTGAAAATTGTATTCAAGTTTCTTTAATTGATACATTAGGGAAAGTCCCTAGAGTACAGTAGTTTTAGTTTACTATAGAACTACTACTGCACATGTAACTGTAACTCAGTACTATAGAAATAATTATATTGTTCACAATAATAACGTAAATTATAAAATCTTACAGCTGTTCTACAGCAGAGTATACTGTAGTGTATGTTGTTCACCTGCTGTTGCAGTTTTTCTTTTAAATGATACTGTAGTAGGGAAAGTCCCTTCAAGGACTTAGTTTAAGTTTATCAATAGTAGTACACTGTACTGCCTAATTACTCAGCATCAAACCAGGATCTCACAATTCAGGAGAGTATCATTGCACAGCTGCCCACTTTTATGTTAAGACAGTCCATGCTACCAATGCTTTATGTCACGTATATCTGGCTGTACTGTATGGCTGTACAAATATGACATGATACATATTTTTATATTTCTAAAACTTTTTTCTCTGTTTATTCATTTATAATTGTTATTTTAAATTAGTATTCATTTTCATTTTTCATTTTTCTTTTGCTAATTCTGACATTTTTTGTTATTATTTCATTTCCTATGTTTCTTTTTTTATGCATTGAGGGTCCCTAATGATCAGCTCCAGCTGGATGAACGACCCTCCCAAAATTTTAGTGAAATAAAATAAATAAATGAAGCCCCTACATGAGAAAACAATACATATTATTTGTAACAAATGTTTAAGATCACCCTGGGGCAATTTTCTCTCCTGAAACATACAGTAATAACCAATTACGTGTACAATCTGAAATAATAGGATGTTGTTTAGAAAATCTGGTGAGAGAATGATGTTAGCAATTCACAGGAGTAATCTCCCTACCTTACCAAAGTTCACGGCCAATTAGTATTTCAAGATGTTTATAAAGGGCCTATAATTTCTCCCCATTTTATTTTCACTAAATTGTGAACCAATGGAGAAGTCGTCCACCTGGTAATGATAATGGTTCTTATCTCACTGAAACAACTGAAGAAATTCAAAGCAAAATACTAATGATATATTGTTACGCAACAAACAAACAGTAGCCTTGCAGATTAACACTTTGCGGATTCATAATTATCAATTCAATTTGAAGGTCACATATTCTTTCCTAGTTTTACCGAGAAATTGGGAAGTATGTTAACTGTATTGGTGTTGAGGTTTTGTGAATATAGTTGAGTGCACAGTGAAGATTTGATGTACAATGTGCATATTTCATGTCATGATTCCACTGACTAGAGAATTGAACTACAACAAGCACTCCTTTGTCAGGTAATTTCTGCCGATAGGCATACGAAATATACCTTAGGTGTGAAGTCTAGGAATGCAAATCTGATACAGCCATGAAGGTATATTTATATCTCCGTACCAGTGTACAGCACATATAGTACCAGTGCCACCTTCATAAAATCTGAAGGTTAGATCCCTCAGACTGACATTGCTCCAAATTTTAATCTATGATTTACAGATGTACCATAAGTTCCTACATACACAGTATTTTCATTCATGCAAGAACACTTTCTGAGGTCTTGTACAAGAGTACAGAAGCCCTCTGCACTACCAACTGGGCCTTCCCCGCCCAGACCATGATCAGCACCTAGCTGCTCCACTGACCTCCACTGAGAACCTCAATCTTAGAGCCAACTGCACAAGACACATTCAAATTTTTGGACTACATTTCAGTTGCTTAAAATCCAACTGAGTCATACAGTAAGACCAAAACCAGCATACTTCCTTGGGTTTATCAGGGAGTTATTCAATACCTCTAAGTTGTATTTATTTAGTCAATAGTTTGAAATAAGAAATTCCAAATCAATCAATAATATCTAATCTTGCCTTATCAATAGAGCTAGTGGTTTCAGGTTGAGAAAATACATTATTGCTCGAAGCAGGCAAGAATTTTAGCCATAAGGGCGACCCCTCAGGCCTAGGTCTACATAATGACATAATAATGCAGTCAACAATGGTCAACAGCAATGCTTCTAAAGTAGGTGTCAACAATTGACAAGTAAATTAGGCCCTAGGCCTACTACTATTTTGCTAGGTTTACAGTGGTGTAACGCCCCTGAAATCAGTGCTGCTGTGCTGCCATCTATTGGTGGCACAAACTGGTCGTAATTTTGACCCTAATTTTGTGCCCTGGCCCCCTAGCCTAGGCTAACACTGCATAGCAGGCTAGGCCTAACCTAGCTTGACACTCAGGCCTAGGCCTACTACTCTAGGCTAGTGGCTAGGTGTAGGCCTAGGAGCCTACTTAGTACTAGGGGCCTACTACCCTATCGTCAATTTGAAGAGATCACGTATATTTTTTTATGATTTAACAATTTAAAAGCCTTACTTTTGCTGTCTTTACATTTTCTCGGCTGCTTTCAGCGCCAGAATTAGCAATCTGTACCCACATATCATTTCCATGTCCGTAGTTATTGGCCCCAATAATTCCTCCTGAGCCATATCCCTGATCCACTAAGTCAAGACCAACGACAACTCCAAATTGGTCTTCAATTTTACGTTTATTTGCTTCTAAAGTCTTCCGCGCTAAATCGCGTATAACAAATTCTTCCATCTTTGTTTTACAAAATATATGTCATCTAAAAGAAAATGTATAGAGTTGTTTAGTTAACATAATCAAAGGCGATAGATCCATCTTCCATAACGGCGTGACTAGCCAGCTCTAGCGCAGGAAATTTCCTCAGTAACCTACCAACAACTTATGTACAATGCGAAGGCCTCCTTCTCAGCAGCAAGAAATATTGGTGGCTGACTAGACAATTTATAATCTGAGCATGCGTCGTGTAACTCCAGGAAGTATGTGAGTCAATAACACCAGTTGTCTTATATTTATAAACTGTCCCCTTTGTATATCTAATCATTAATTCCGGGTCGGTACACTTTATAAATAACAATGTTAATGATGAGCTAACTAAACCGGTTCACTGACATAATTCCAATTAAAACCTTTTTAAGTATAAGCTTTAATAATTAGATAATAATTAAATGCAGTTTCGAGATTCTTCATAGGCCTACCTGTTCCCTCCCAGGGCGGGCGTGAGTGTTTTATCATGGTTTTATTGTTTTACCTGTCTGGTACATTATATTTCAGGTAAATAGACTAGGCCCTATGTTTCGTAATAATCAACGAAATCAACGGACATGTTAAGAACATCTCCCTGTTAAGAAATTGTCACGTGAGTTCAGGGTTTGATTCGCTCAGCAAAATTGAAACTTGAGAACATTTACAGGCCTATCAAGTCTACTCTAGTTCACATGATTAATAAAAACACTCATCTTTTAATATTGGTTGATTAATGGGCCTACTAGAAATTCAAAATTCATATTGAATATCAGAATAAAAAATATGCTTTGACGCAACATGACTGCGTAAACTCGGATGATGACTAAAAACATAACAGGATAAGACGAATAGGCCTACGGGCGATCAACCCACGATAAAAAGAGTCATGGTGATTCATCCATCGAGATACGGGAGGAAATACGAGAGTTAGCACAGTCGATCGTTCGATTCTACCTGGCAATCCGCATACAACATCCACAACTAAAAGAGGCGAAGGAAATTGCAAATTGTCTTGCAAATTTCAATTAAAAATAAAATATTCAACGAACATAATATGTTCATGGAGTTATTAGGCCTATTTCAAGAAGTTATTAGCGTTTTACACTGAAAATTAAAACTCGAAAACAATCCGCGCCAATTAACGGACGTTTTAATAGCATTCCCATATCTGGTATTTGCTCTAAAATATTAACAATTAAAGTTTCCCGATGTTGCATCAAATAAAAATGCCAGGCCTAGGCCCTATACGGTATCAAAAATATGACATATGCAACGGCGGCGGAACGGGGGCAAGGGGACATTTTTCTACTGGGAGACCTGCCCCCTCCCCCTCACTCTTGTGACGGTTCTCAGGACCATTGACAAGCATTTAACGAACTGAATGTCATTATTATTATTATTATTATTATTATTATTATTATTATTATTATTATTATTATTATTATTATTATTATTATTATTTGGTGCTTAAAGACCTTGTTTATTGCGCCCTATAAATCGATTTATTATTATTATTATTATTATTATTATTATTATTATTATTATTATACAATATAGATTTTTTTTTCATTTTCAAAAGAACATTACAAGTTCCCTTTTTGAGTTGAGCATCCAGATGTTGATTGACGTCTGTAAACGCACGTCTGTGAAGTTTCCTTGAAACTTACCTCGCGTGAAGAAAACAACTTGCGTGAATTTTGTATTTTAGGCACAGGGCGGAGGTAAGCACTCTTTATGTAGCGGCGCTCTAGTTCTCTTTATGTTAACCATGAAGATGTAAATGTAACTGACTGGCTTCAGTAAACCATCAAACTAGCATATAACCACATTTAACTTCCATCTAATTTAACCAAAACAATAAGATAATTAAATAGGCCATTTATTAGTTATCTGAGTGTTAACTACAAAATTTACAGTGGGCCTACACTGTAGAAAAAAAAAATCTTTCGCTTGACATTGGTATTAGTCATTTATGAAACAAAATGATAGGCTATGTCACATGTTATATTGAACAGTGGCGGCTTCAATGGGGAGCTCAGTCGGCAGGACCCCTACCCTCCTTTTTTTCAAAATTATAAAAACAATGGAGAAAACAGAGAAAATTGTATTCAAATTTAAATCTCCGAAATTTCCGGCCATCTGAGATAGTCATATTTTTTTCTGTAATACCTCAGCCCCAACCGTTGTGGGGCTGTGGTTTGACACTCCATTAGGCTTCCTCTATCGACTTCCTGGAACCGCCACAGTTTGAAGTACCATTGCCGGGCTCCTAGGTGTAAGGGTAATTTTTTTTATTCATCGGGGGAAAAAGGTAAGATTTCGTCGGGGAATACCCATATCAAGGATACCCCTCATGATAAATAAGCATTGTGATCGTGGAAGTAATCTTGACATCGAGTTTGGTCGAAAATTACAACAATTATAAAGTCAAATTACAGCTTAATGCCTATAAAATAACTAATACAATTCACCAAACTTCGTCAAATATCCATAGGCGTAGATTGGGGGTGGGGGAGGATGGGGATATATCCCCCAATATTTGACAATGTGGGGGGGGGGTGGTCCATTGTATCATCCCCCCACCCCAATATTTTGACTATGTATGGGATAAAATGGAGCTTTACACACTTCAAAAGACTGTCAAAGAAATAATTTGCACTGTCTTATGCGTATTAATGTTGATCACAAAATTATTTTATCTGGTACCAATCTAAACTCTTCTTTCCTTAGATGTTAGATGTGCTTGCAAAGAGAGCCACATTTCACACTGAAGGGTACTTGTGTACTACGACAGTAATGTTATGTCAATTCCAAGATTGTTTAAGGTTATATCGGTTGATGAGGATTTTATTGATTAGGCCTATAATAGCAAATTGCATCAATTTATTTAAAAAAAACAAGGTTTCCAGGTTCAGAGGGGGGCACATCTCCTGTCCGCACAAGGGCACACATTGGCGCTAACACCAGGCGCGTAACAGGGGTCTTGGGTCAGAGTGGGTATTTATTTTCCCGGTTAGTAATTTACCATACCCACCCCACCCCACTTGCCATATAAAAAACAATACGACATAGGGCTTATCTTATTTATAATATAGGCCACACACGTGTGTTTGAAACTAAATACAGTATAAGCATTTTCATCGTGGTTTTATTTATTACAAACATATTCTTTCACCATCAATACACATTGAGGTCCTTCTTTGAGGTTAAAACGATCTATCTTAAATTTGTCTTTCTTGAGTTTGGGACTATTATGTGTTTAAATAACTTAAAAGGATAAACCTAAAAAAGCCCTAAAAAATGAGCGCGAAACGGGCAAAATATTTTTGTGTTTTTAATTCTAATTTCGTCGGAATTGATGAAACTCCCTGAAATGTGCAATTTATAGAGGAAATTGGCCTACCGTAACAAGAAATGCGCGCAAAGATTTT